TTTTTTTTTTTTTTTTTTGAACGATTGCTCATATGAGTTTGTTATTCATGTTCTTCAATCAAATTTGTTCTTATGAGTTTGTTATTCATATTCCCCAAACAGAGCTATGCATACATATATATATATATATATATATTTGTTCATATGAGTTTGTCATCATACTCAATTGGACTGCTTAATGCACGAACTCATATTCAAGTACAAATTTGAGTAAGAGCATTTTCAATTCTCAATCTCTTTTTGTGTATATGTTTGTTGAAGGTTGCCTGAAATTTTTCAATGAAAAGACACAATTTTCTCAGGTTTGGTTAAAACACATAGAAAATTATGAGCAAATTAGAAAAAATTGGTCAAAACACAAAGAAATTTGTGAGTAAATTAGAGAAATTTCAAACCAGATAAATCTGAAAATACAGAGAAAATTTAAAAATATAGAGAAAATCAAAGAAATTGAGCAATTTTCTCTAGTTGGGAACTTTCTCTAATGCTATTGATGTTGCACTTTCTTATGATAAGGCTGCAAGAGCCTTGTATGGCTTTGATGATATATTGAATTTTCCTAGCTACAAAACTAACTTGATCACTAAAAGTACAACAATGTTGTGTAATTTGTGAGTGGTTCATTGACGTGGATTTATGTGAAGTTTGTTCAAAGTGAGTCATTGATTTCAGCAACAATTCTGATTTTTGATGAATCACTATAACAAACAAGAGTTGCAATACTGGTGCAACACAATTTTCTATGTGTTGAAATCGCTTTGTGCTGGTTTTTTGATCAATTTTCTCTATTTGAGTCAAAACACAATTTTCTTTAGTTTGATCAAAACACAGAGAAATTTATGAGCAAACTAGAGAATTTGGGAAAGATGAGGAATGAAGTTGGAAGAGAAGAGAGAACTGCCACTTAACACTCTAATATGTGTAATTTTCTCTGGCATGTTTAATTTTCTCTGTCATGTGTAATTTTCTCTGCCATGTTTAATTTTCTCTACCATGTTTAATTTTCTTTGCCGTGTGTAATTTTCTCTAGCATGTTTAATTTTCTCTACCGTATGTAATTTTCTCTGATTTGAACCTAGAGAAATTCTTACGAAAACTAGAGAAATTCTCTAAAAATCCAGAGAAAATCTCTAGACTGGAATCCATAGAATTTCTTTGGATCAAATTTTCTCTGGATTGATATTGAGGGACCTTAAATATTATAAGAATATTGGATGTCCTTTGTACTATAAAATCTTAATACCATGGACTCTAAAAAAAAATTCCCGTTTCAATGAATTGTTAGCAAAACTAAAAAAAAAAAAAAGACTTTGAACCAAATATAAATTAAATAAATAAACACGCTTTTAACATAAACCATCAAGTTCAACTTTTTCCCTTTCTATATAAAAAAATAAAATAAAATTGAATCCCTACTGAAATTTTACAACAAATATTGAAAACCTTGAAGTAAAAACTAACACAATCACTGCGAAAGTTGGGAAACTGACCTCTGATGCCTGAAACTACGTAAAATCAAGTTAGGGTTCTTCAAGCTTAAAGAAGGTTTTTTGAGAGAGAAAGAGAGATGGGAAACCCTAACCCTAAGAACTTGAAGAGGGGGCAAATGTGATAATGAAGTCCGAGCGCGGCAAAATGAAATCAGACGAGATTTTTTTTCCGATGGAAAATCAAATTATTAGAAAGATTAAAAAGATATATTTAATTTGATAATCTCTTTGGTTTCAACTAAAAAAAATTTATAATTTTTTTGATTGTTTACGAAAAAATTTAAAAGTTTGGTTTTGATTTGTTTAGAGCATTTCTAATTCAAAAATTTAATCAAATTTGAGTAAAAGTTTGATTTAATATGATATGCTCCAATCGTTTAATTATATTTAGCCGGTCGTTTGGTCGGTCATTTGACCGGTCGTCCGGCCTAGTAAAAATTTTCATCAAAATTGTTTTGATCCGATCGTCGACCCGGTTGTCTAGCCAACCGTTGACTCGGCTGACCGGCCAGTCATCCACCCGGTCGTCCACCAACGGTCACTTGCGAGATTTGATGAAAAGATAAACGCTCCTTTGATTTGATGAAAAAAGTATGGCTCCCTTCATTTGATACTAATTTAGTGAAATAGTTAGAACACCGTTTTCATCAAATTTTTATCATATTTAAATTTGATGAAAAATATGAATTTGGATTAGAGATGGTCTTACTCATTAAAAAATAATTTTTGTAAGAAACTCTCATCTTGTTTGAAAAGTACCAAAAATAATAAAAAATAAATAAAAATAATTTGAAGGTTTTTTTTTTTTCATTTAATAAAATTTTTATTATTTATATTTTTTAGGATTTTATTTTGAACGGATTTAAAATGTAAAATGAAGTAAAAATAAAATAAAAATCTACTAAAAAATAATAAAATTGCATTTTTAGCATTCATCATCAGAGTATCAATTTTTTAAGTAGTAATTTTAAAAATATACTTTAAAAATTTGTAACTTTTCTAAAGTGCAAGTCGATTTGTATTCGGTATAAGTGAAAGTATAGTTCTCAATTGTGCTCACTCATACTTGTATGAAAATATAAGGGGGCATTTCAATTCAGTGTCATGTTTTAAAAAGAATTACAGAAAATGATAAACTTTATACACATCAATAATTAAAAATATATAATTTACCATAATTTTATGAAATTTTTCCAAAATATAATCTTTTGGAGTTATTAAATTTTCTTTAAATTTTAACTATTTAGTCCACAAATTAAATTTCATCATTATCCATCGAGAGGGATGAATACAATCAAGGGGATTCAATACCAATTTTAACAATTCACTAGTGATGAATTGGTCTCAAGCAAATTTAAAATTTAATTGTTTAATTAATCAATTAATCACTCCAACACTAGACAATTTGTTTTCGTTCTGAAGATAACTGAATGTACCAATAAGAAAGAGGGATGAAGGAGAGAAATGTTGGTAGTTTGAATTGAGATTGGCCTCCAAGATTAAAGTATGTTGGCAAAGTCTATTGTGAATTTATTTTTATTTTTTATTTTTTTTACGAGTCTTGAACACTTTTAAGGTTGCTATTGGGTAGGATATGTTTAGCTTTGGATAAAACTACTGCTTCGGTTTAGTTCTGACATGTGGGCTAATAAAATGTAATCTATGCTTTTTTTGAGTTTGCTATTGGTAAAGTTAGATTTTCATCAACTTAAAGCTCCTCATACACTTCTACTAAATAAAAAAAGCATAAATTGATTGACCATACATACATATGATCTGCCAATCAAAAAGCACATACATATGATCTGTTAAAACAATCACTCATTTGAAACATTGACATTATTTTAGAATTCTCTCATGTAGAGTAGTGTGTACAAAACAAAATTAGCATTTAACATATATTCTTTGTTTTCTTCCTCAACAGAAAAAAGAGGATTGATCATAAGGAATGGGAATCAAGATCAGATCATTCTTTCTTCTCACAATCAAACCAAGGTCCTCTTCCATGTCTAGTTCTTCATACTTCTTTCCATCAGGGAGTTTCCAATCAAAATGATACAACAATTGTGCAAGTGGAAGCTCAATGTTAGGAATCGCAAATGATATCCCGGGGCATATCCTCCTTCCAGCACCAAACGGAATGAACTCAAAATATCTCCCCTTGAAATCAATTTCACTGTCAAGAAATCTCTCAGGATCAAATTTCTCTGCTTCATTCCAATATTTGGGGTCTTGGCCGATTGCCCAAGCATTGACAATGACTTTGGTCTTGGCAGGTATGCCGTATCCATTAATTGTACATTGTTCACCGCTTTCTCTTGGAACTAACAATGGAGCTGAGGTATGTAGCCTCAAGGTCTCTTTGATAACTGAGTTTAGGTATTTTAGTTCATGAAGGCATGTTTCATGGACATTTCCTTTTTTGTCAAAGACACGTCGTACTTCGGCTTATGCTCTTTTCATTACTTGTTGGTTTTCAGCATTTCTGACATTGCCCAATCTACGATTGTTGATGATGTCTCGCTTCCCGCACTGAAAATGTCCTGAAATTAATTGGATTGATGTACTTTAGTTCAGGTTATTGACACTGCCAAGAATTCAATGAAATAGAAGAAAACCAGGGATTTACTGAATTTCGTGCCAAGACATACTTCCCACTTTGGGATTGCACAAAAAAGACTTTCACTCTTCACAACACCCAAAAAGAAAAACACAAAAAACAAAAGCAAAGATAAAATTGCAGTGTGTGAGTGAGGATTGTGTTGAAATTATAAGCTTGAAAATTGCTTGGAATGAAAGAATCCAGCAAAATGACTTTGAGGGGATGTTGGAAATCAAACTCAATTTGATTGCTCATACTTTCATCAGATTGCTCATAGACTGCTTAATCAAATCATTACCTATTTTCTAGACCATGGTGTCACTTTTGCTTGGCAATTAATTATTATTATATCATGAGCTATGAAAATAAATTTTTTATATTTTGTGTGAACATTGAAATGATATAGACAAATAAAAACATACTGACCAAGATGACTGCTTTGATGTAGTCTGTCAATGGAAATTCAAGGTCACCACGCTTTTGAATTCTCAAAAGAACATCAACTAGATCTTCTTCTTCCCCTTTACCACTTTCTGTTATTCTCTTTCTTTCTCTATAGTCATTCACGATGTTTTCAAGTATCTGATCAATCCTTTTATGCATCTTTTTGAGTGTACCTTCACCGATGGGTACATGTCAACAATGGTGAAACCACCTATGAAGTCTGCAACTTCCTCTGCAATCGAAACAAACTCTTCTGGGCCTTTACTTTTCCCCCCAAAAGCCGCTCTAGCAGTAACGCCATACGTGAGCAAGAAAATCTTCTTGCTAAGATTGATCGGCGATGTCTTGTTTAAAGAAATTGATTTTACTAGATTCAAGACGTCCACTTCCCTAATTGCTCGAAATGATTGGACTCACTTTGCCCTCAGAAGCTCCATTATGCAAATTTTTTGCATTTGCCTCCAATAATCGCCATACGGGGAAAAGGCAATGTTTTGGGGGCTAAACTTTGAATTTACAAAGGAAAATTTTCTATGTAGAAGGGGCCATATTTTATAACACCATGACAACCTTAGGTTGATGGTTTTTGCCTATGGCGACTGAAAAATGAAAGTCAGACACATATGACATAAGAAGACAGTGTATTATCATAAACCCACATCATTGATAGCCAATGAATATTTTACATGTAAACCTACGTTTGATTCAACAAAAAATATTTTTAGTAAAAAAAAAGTTTTATTTTTTATTCTTTTTTCTCATATTTTCAGTAAATTTGTTTTTCATTGATTTTTGTTTCAAAATTATATGAAAATTATTTTACAAAATATATTTTCTGCTCAACTAGGAGTGACCATTGGTTCAATGGTAAAACCTTAACCTAATAACTTGAGGTTATGGATTCAAGTCTTGGGACAACCACTTTGTGTACTACGCCAAAGATTAATTAGGTGTATATCCAATTTTTCCCCTCCAAAACTCACATTAATGTGTACTAATTGGGCGTCGTTTTTATTTTCTACTCAACTAGAGAAGAATACATTGAATCAATTCCTACAAAGCAAATTCGGAAGCAATCACCCACCAACCATTAAGTTTGAGCATAAACCGAAAAAGATTGCCCACAATTTGTCTCGTGTAAATTACTATAAAAAACACAATCAACACACTTGGCGTGGCTTTTACTACTTTTGCCAAATATTAAAAGTTGTATATGGTATGGGCCATAGTCACTAATTGTCCATGTGAGTCATACATTCATAGCATCACATTATTAAATAAATTCAAGTCAAATTTGAGTGGCCAAGTGAAAACTGTGCAGGGTGTGGAAGTGATTACAAAAAAAATAAAAAAATCACATGTTCAAGACTTAAAACTGTTGCATAGGGAAAACAAACACTTGCCACTAGATTCTCACAATAATTCAATTTCTACTTTATTTTGTTTACAACTAGTAACTATATTTTATAATGCTCAATACTTTTGGGATTGTTTACCAAACCAAGCCTTAAGTCCCATCAAATGAGGTCGGCTACATGAATTCTTCTTCTCCATGCGGCCCTATCAAAGGCCATTTCGTTAGTCAAATTAAGTAGATCCATATCTCTATTTACAACGTTAGCCAACGTTAATCTAAGCCTACCCCGTCCCCTAACACTCCCCTCTACCGTTACAACATCGCATCTCTTCACTACTGCCTCTGTTGGTCTCCGTTGAATGTGACCAAACCATCTCAATCGATTCTCTCAACTTATCTTCCATCGGTGCTACTCCTACCCATTCCCGAATACACTCATTCCTAATTCTGTCTTGTCTAGTCTTGCCACACATCCACCTAAGCATCCTCATCTTGGTCACACTCATCTTATCTACATGTTGTTTCTTGGTTGCCCAACACTTCGTCCCATACAACATCGCTAGTCTAATAGCCATTCTATAAAACTTACCTTTTAGTCTAGTGGGCATTCGTTTATCGCACAGTACCCTAGACGCACTTCTCTACTTACACCATCCCGCCTTAATCCTATGGGCCACAGCCGCATCAATCTCTCCCGCTGTTGTGATAATCGACCCTAAATAATGAAAATGTTCACTCTTAGGCAATTCTTGCTTCTCAATCTTCACTTCTCCTCTGTTTTCATTGTTACTGTTACTAAATTTACACTCTATGTACTCTTTCTTATTTCTACTTATCCAGAAACCTTTAGATTCAAAAGTTTTTCTCCAAATCTCCAATTTTGTATTAACTCCTCCTTTAGTCTCATCCACTAGCACGATATCGTCTGCAAAAAATATACACTATGGCACGCCATCCTGAATATTTCTCGTCAACTCATCCATAACTAAAGCAAAAAAATAAGGGCTTAAGATAGATCCTTGGTGTAACCCAACAGTGATAGGAAATTCATTTGTCTCTCCAGTAGGCAATCTAATAGTGGTCACCACCCCCTCAAACATGTCCCTAATCACGTCAATGTAACCTTTTGTCACCCCTTTCTTCTCTAACACCCACCATATTATATCTTGGGACACTCTATCATATACTTTCCTAAGGTCGATAGACACCATATGAATGTCTCTTTTCTTTTCTTTATACTTTTCTATTACTCTCCTCAAAAGAAAAATCGCTTCCATTGTTGACCTACTGGGCATAAACCCAAATTGATTCTCTGATACTTTTGTTATATCTCATGTTAGAATTTATCATCACCTACCACCACTACCACCTCACCTACTCCACTAAACCTAACCCACTACACCACTATCACCATCCACTACACACTTCCACCTACTACACACCTACCACTACCACCTACTACCACCTACTCCACTACATCTCCTATATAAGGAACCCCTCACCATTTGTAATAGATAACACAACAATATCAATCAATAATACAATTCTCTTTATACATTGAATTTCAACATGGTATCAGAGCAGGGTTAAGAACCTAGTCATTCTGCTTCACCGGCGGGCGGCAGCCTCGCCTTGGCCGTCCGTCGGACCTCTACACATATCTTCACCCCTCTGCCAGAAAGCCATAGCTGAACTCTTCTCTGCCTCACACATATTTGTTCATCAATGGCGACATCAACCCACCGGCCAATGAAAAATGCACCAACCCAACATGAATGATGTCCACATGGGTTATTATTCTGCAGCACTAAAATTCCACAACTTTACGGCCCAATATCCATGATTTTTTTCCAAGTGCTGGATTGTTAAGCTCTCTGTTTTTGTTTGAAGCTTTGGCACAGAGAGAGAGTGTGTGCGTGTTCATCTCAGAGAGCCAGTGCTTTGGCACAGAGAGAGAGTGTGTGCGTGTTCATCTCAGAGAGCCAGTGAGAGTTGTGTATGTTAGGTCTTGCCGAGAGACTTATCGGATAACACACAAAACGCATTGCCGACGAGCTTAAACGCTTCTTCCGAGGCAGCGAAGGGGTTCTTGTCTGGATGCAGGGCTAGGGCGAGCCTCTTGTACTGTTTCTTGATGGTGTTGATGTGAGAGAAAGGCTCGATCTGGAGGACCTTGTACCAGTCCAGTGTTGCGCTTGCGGTGGCGGCGACGCGGAGGATTTTGAAGGCGGTGAGGGTTTCGGAGAGGCCATCGAGTTTGGGGAAGAGACGGTGAGCTCTCTTGGCGTATTTTAGGGCTGATTTGAGGTTGGAAGACTTGTATTTCTGCTCTGCTAAGGTTTTGAGGCGGTGGGCTTCTTCTCGCTCTTGCTGTGTCTTCTCATCCATTTTCGGACCTCGAGGAGAGAGAGAGAGAGAGAGAGATCACGCCAAAGCTGCGAGAGCCACATCACGAACCCACCACACCCAGCTTTTTCTTTGTTTATATCTCTTTTTTTATTATTATCCTATATTCCTCACACACCCTCTCTTTCACTATCACCTTATTTTATGTCTCCACTCAAGGACATCCACTAGCCTCACCCACTATTTTGTCACTTTTCCAACCTATATTCTGTTATCTTTTGCACTCTCCTTGACCGATTCCCTCATCCCTCCGCCATCTGCCATAACATCATAATAATTCTCAATTGCCCCACATGGGCATGTCTCTCCCCACCTTTCTTTATTTTATATATATATATATATATTTTTTTTTATAATGAAAATGATATTTAGCCACCCTCTGGACCCTGTGACTGATGGACCCTTCTTCTGGTTTCTGAACAAAGGGGAAACAGAAAACAAAATAAGGGGGAGCTAAAGCAAGTACAAAATACAGGAAAAAAAATGAAAATCGAAAAAAACAATATCACATTAACGAAACCAACAAAACTATATGAAAATAAGGGACATTCTCCCTTTAGCATTTGCACTCAAGTTCTATCCAAGTAGATACCAAAGAAAGAAAGTGACAAAATCACCTGGCCTATATTAATTCAAATACCTATAACAATGCTTACCTTCTTTTAGAAGCTTGGAATTGTGCCAGCTTCAGCACTCTTTTGCTGCTTCTCTTTGAAAATATTAAGCAATATTCTCTTTGTCTTAAGCTCTATAAATCAAAGCACAACGTATATAGTTATACTACTAGAGAAGCATGCACGTGGTAATCATGGCCATGTTTACATCTGCTATGTAATTCATGCACAAAATGCGTATATACAAGCCACCAATAACAGCTGATAAAGAAATCCCATTTTGAGATAACTAACTAACATAAATATGTTGTCAACATGCAATCTATAATCCATACCAACATGAATTAACATTAGCATTACCTTACCATCAAGCCTGACCAGGAAAAAAAAATCTTGAAAATGTATAATCCATACCCACATGAATAATTCCCCTACCGTGGATGACCCACAAACCCCGGAACAGAATTTTGAGCCTCAACCTCCCCAAATCATTAACACCTAGTTTGGATTGAATGATTTCAAACACTAAGCATAACATATAAAAATTAAAATCTGCCTAGTAGATGAAATATAGGCTCCGTAATTTGCCATATAGATTATCATGAATCTAAGGGAAAACGCATAGATAATCAAAAAGTGTAATGATGCATATAATATACACAAAAACTAGGGCAAAAAAAAAGGGGGGTTTACAAAGAGAGCATTTTACCGTAAAAGTTTCATCATCATTCTTATTTTTCGGTGTTTGCCTAAAAATTAAAAGATAAAATAAAAATAACAAAAGTTTTCCATTGACACATTTTATCGAACATTTGACATACAAGGAAAATGGTACGATAAGAATCACAATATCAACAAGCTATTCCAACAACAAAAAAATTCCATAAAAAATGAATGGTTCATTGGTTACAAAGAGTGCAGTGCACGCGGTTAAGATCAACTAGCATATCAAAAGTTCATGGGGTTGGGGAAGGAATTGAAGAACTTACAGTGAATGAGAAAACATAAACTAGAGAGAGAGAAGCAGCAATGGTGAGAGGAGAAGCAACGCTGGAAAGGCCAACGACGGCGACTAAAAAATCATTTTAATTTATCTCACTCATTAAATTAA